TTTTTTTTTTTTACTACTGCGTGCCACACTCTAAGTCCAAATGATTCGCCGCTCCGGCTAGGAGTTCTACCTTCTTCTCTGAGTGATTTTCTGTTTGTTTCTTCTATCTGAACTATCTATGTCCGGTATCGAGACGCGTGCGCAGACAGCGAAAAGAGAGGAAAGAGAGAGAGAAGGTGTGCTGTTTGGGAGTGTGACAAGGGGTAAGAGGAGTGTTCGTCTAAACGTAAGGAGACAGCGGACCCCTCTTCAGAGTTCTACTGACACCCCTTCCTCCAGCATGGCGGTCATCACATCTGACCAATGGCAGGCCATGCTGGACCCAGCAGACGAGAGCCAGAAACCGTTCTTTCAAAAACTGTATGATGATGTCGTGCAGAGGGAAAGGGAGGCAGCGGCAGCAGCTAGAGCCGTCGACATTGCTGATCAGGTGGCTCTCCTCCGGATCCCGGAAGCCAATGCTGACCGGTTCCAGGAGGAACTAGCTGCTGCTGCTGCTGTCGCAGCCTTGGTCCGGCTGCGGAACTTGGAAGATCTCGAGTCCCGTGTGACAGCACTCGAGCAGCGGAACCAAGAGCTGCAGGCTAAGGTAATTAGCCTTGAACAGTCCCAACAATCTGCCCCCGCCCTCCTAACCCTCGATCTGTTGTAATCCCCGTCTCTCAGCCCAGTACAACCCTCGTTTCAAGGGCCAGCGGAACTGCGGTAAGTGCAGGAACCGGTGCAAGCTCCTCAAGCGGCAGCACCGGCAGTTCTGCACTGATCGCAGTCCCAAATGCAGGGACTTCAGCCCAAAACGCCATAGTCCTTACTGGCGTTCAGTACAGCGGTCCCATGGTGGACAAGCGGGCGGCCACGCTGTCGTCCAAGTACGATGGGAAGGCTGACATCACCTCTTGGATTAGTTCCATGCGGTCGTACTTCGAGGTCATGCGGACACCGCAAGAGGATCGACGTATGATCATGGGAACTAATACCGAGTCTGCCGTATGAAACCACATTGAGCTCCAAGCTATTGCTGCAGGCTATGCACGCATAGACCTGACTGATTGGTTGAAGGTCACCCCTGTTCGCACCCTTGAGGATCTTCTCCTTAACTGGTGTCAGGATAAACATGCTGCGCTCAAGGCTACACTGAAGCTTGAGGCCCTCAAGGGCCAAACATGGAGGTCATCCATGCAGGCTTTGGAACAACACTTGACTGGTCTATTCACCACTCCGGATCTAGGAATGACTGACGTGTCTTGCATGGATGTAGTCATGGGAGTGGCCCCTAAAGAATACCTCTCCCTGCTAGCACTCAAGGACCATGCTACCTGACGAGAGCTCATGAAAGACCTAGTCGACCTAGAGGCCAAGGACCTCGCCAGGCGCAAGAAGGCGCCCGGTGCAGGTGGGAAACCACAACGCAAGCGGTTTGGAGGCAGCAACCAGCTTGCACTGCGTGATCATCGGGAGGCTGACGATCAGTCCTATACGGATGATCTGTCTCTAAATGATGATCTAGAGCCGGACTCCGATACAGGCTGTTCCACATCAACCATTGAGTGTGACCGAAATGATGATGAAAAACTTAATGCATTCAAAAAGAAACCGGAGGACGCTTCTACCAAGCCTTGGGAAGCCCTCCGCATCAGCCAAAAAGAATGGGAAAGAAGGTCCAAACTGCGCGTATGCTTGCATTGTTCAAAGCATGGGCATGATGTGCAGGATTGCTATCGTCTTCAGGGAAACAGGCAAGGGGCGTAGAGGAGACATCAGCACTCCCTACAACAAGAGAAGCTGAGCAGTCGGCGGCAGGCCCCTCTGAGGAGCCTGGATCTGATTAGCAGCTTGCTCTTGAAGCCCGCAGCAATGTTGAATCCAAGCCTGGTGCAGTCAGTGTATTATACACTGAGCCTTGGGAGGAGTCTAAAGAAGTTGACTTCCACGCCCACATGGAGCATTGGCTGCAACTCAAGCAGCAACGCCGTGTCCAGGGGGGCGTGGAGCTGACCTTCTTTAAACTGCTCATTAACCGCCAATACATCCACGTGCTGATTGACAGTGGTTCGACCACTAACTTCTTCTCTCCGAACGGGATTCGTAATGCGAGCCTGGGTATGAAGCAAGTGGAACTGCAGAACCCTTGCCGGACTCAGGTGGGCAACCAAGAGGTTGTCACTTCTACTCATGCTGTCAAAGGTGTGCGCATCACCTTTGACAAAGATCGTACTGTCACACATAGGCTGAATTTCTATGTCCTGGACAAGTGTCCTTTCGACGCGGTCATTGGCTTGAGCTGGCTAAAGGCTCATTGCCTAAGGACCACGTGGGCAGACAACCAATTCGTGGTACTTGATGTCAAGGGGAATGAGCGTACTGTCTTACTAGACGAGACGCGCGAGTCCCCTGTGACTCTTCTCAGTGCTAACAAATTCTGCAGGTCAGTGCGGAGGCGCAAGGAAGCTGGGTTTGTACATATAGCTCTTGTAAAGCCTTTCCATGTGCCTTTTACTTTTGCTGCATTTTCTACCTCTGAAGGTAACTCTACCTCTACTACTACTTTTGTTCCACCTACTTCTGCTGTAAATGATCGATCTAGTGCGGAACCAAATATTTCGAAACCGGTTGTAATTGCTGTAAATTCCCAATCTGATTTTCTCTCCCCTGATAAGGATGATCCTCCACCAGAAATCCCAGCGAACATTCGCCATCTGTTAGATCGATTTCCTGAAGTATTGGCTGAACCTCGCGGAGTTCCCGAGCGTCCAGTCAAGCACAAAATCGAGATAATAGAAGGGAGTGTTCCGCCAAAGGGTTGCGTCTACCGTATGGGACAAGGCGAGTTGGAGGAGTTGCGGAGACAAATTGATGACATGATTGATCGTGGATGGATTAGGCCTAGCGAGTCTGAGTTCGGCGCACCTGTTTTGTTCGTGCCGAAGAAAGGAGGCAAACTCCGGATGTGCATTGATTATCGTGGTTTTAACCGAATCACAAGGAAGAATGTCTACCCTTTGCCTCGTATAGATGATCTGTTGGATGCGGCCGGTGGATGCAAAGTCTTCTCCAAGATCGACCTCAAGTCTGGTTACCACCAGATTGAAGTTGATCCGAGCGACCAGCACAAAACTGCGTTCAAGACACGCGACGGCCTGTACGAATTCATCGTTATGCCCTTCGGCCTTACGAACGCACCAGCCACATTTCAGACCCTCATGGATAAGGTACTCCACCACCAACTTAACAGGTTTGTGGTTGTGTATCTTGATGACATTCTGATTTTCGGCAAGTCCATGGAGGAGCACGTCAAACATCTCGAGGAGGTCTTGCAAGTCCTCAGAGATGCTCAACTGCACCTCAACTTGGAGAAATCTGAGTTTGGCAGGGACAGCGTTATCTACCTTGGGCACCGGTTGTCTGCAAGCGGTCTTGAGCCGGAAGCAACCAAGGTTGAGGTCATCCGCAACTGGCCTCAACCGACGAATGTACGCGAGCTGCGTTCTTTTCTTGGTTTGGCTTCTTACTACCGGAAGTTTGTGCCTAAGTTCTCTGTCATTGCTCACCCACTCTCTGCCTAACTAGTAAGAATGTTGCCTATGCGTGGTGTGAAAAGTGTGAGACTGTGTTCCAAGCCTTGAAAGAGGCTTTGGTGAGTCATCATGTGCTCCGCATTGCGGATCCCAACCTCACGTTCGTAGTCACTACGGACGCAAGCCAGTTTGGGATTGGTGCAGTGCTGCAACAAGATGATGGCGATGGCCTGCGTCCGCTTGAATATTACAGCAAACGCATGCCCAGCCACAAGGTAGCCACTTCCACATACATGAGGGAGCTCTACGCCTTGCGCGAGGCGCTCACGCATTGAAAGCACTACCTCTTGGGTCGCCACTTCAAGGTCTATTCAGATCATCAGACCTTGCAATGGATTAAGATACAAACTGATCTCTCTCCAACTCTGACCCGCTGGCTGCATGACATTGATGTTTTCAACTTTGAACTAAAACATAAGAAAGGCTGCTATAATCGTGTTGTTGATGCTCTGTMGCGCCATCCCGAGTATTTGACTTGCCTTGTGGACTCGTACGACCTCCGGAGGAAACTGAAGGAGGATCTGGTCGAGCACACTGCCAAGGATTCGGACCTTAGTCCCATCCTTGAGCAGCTCAAGGCTGACCCCAACAGTCAGCCTGATTTTCATGAATGCGAGGGTCTTGTATTTCGCCGGTACGGAAAGTTTGACTGTTTGTGTGTACCCAACCATGCGCCTCTCCGAACTCACTTCTTGGATCTGGCGCCCGGTCGGAGTGGACATTTTGGCTTTGAGAAGACTTATGGAAGTCTTTTGCAACAATTTGACTGGCCAGGAATGAAAGGATCTGCTCAGAAATTTATTGTTGAATGTCAAGTATGCCAAAGGATCAAGGTTCACAGGCATAAGCCTTATGGCCTACTGAGACCTCTCCCCATTCCCAATGGACCCGGCGAGTCGATTTCCATCGACTTCACGGACATGGGAAAGGTGAGTGAGGCTGGGAATTCACAAATCATGGTCATTGTGAACCGCTTCTACAAATTTCTGAACTTGATTCCTCTCCCTCCTCACGCCCCGACTGAACTCGTCATAGAAGAATTCCATCAGCAGTACATTATGCAGTCTGGCGTCCCGAAAACTATTGTGAGTGATCGGGACACCAGATTCATCAGCAAAGATTGGAAAGACTTCACATCTCAGATCTACGACATCAAACTGAACAGGACTTCTGGTCGACACCCCGAAGCCAACGGATTGGCTGAGGACATCAACCAGAATGTCATCCAATTGCTTCGCGCACTAATTGTTCCAGATCAGAACACGTGGGACAAGGAATTGCACAAAGTGAAGGGGCTGTACAACAACTCCATTCACTCTGCGACTGGTGTGATACCAAACCAATTGCAGTATGGATGGCCGATGCGTAATCCCCTCTCCTATCTGTTCCCCGAACGGTCACCTGGTCTGATGCCCGGCATGCCTGGCTACGATGCCAAGTACGCACGCTTGCTCAAAGCTGCTACAACAGCTATGAACAAGCGCCAACATGCCATGATCAAACATGCCAATAAGCTGTGCAAAGAAGAAAAGTTCAAAATAGGGGATTATGTTTGGGTCAAAATGTTTGAGTTTTCTGATGAAGAGGGCATATCACGGAAGCTTCTTCCATTGTACTACGGCCCTTGGCAGATTCTGAAGGTAGTCGGGGATGATTTCGGTCCTTCGTATGTGATTGACGTGCCTCCTCATCTGCGCACGTATTCAGTCTTTCATGCCTCCAAACTGTTCCAATACATTGATGATGAGACTTTTCCCTTCCGTGATCCTATGATACCTCGCCCTATTAACGACGGCCATGAGATTGACAGAATCGTTTCTCACGAGGGGATAGGAAGGAGCAGACAGTACAAAGTTCATTTCCTCTACCACCCGTTGAACGAATTCTTCTGGATCGACCGGAAAGAACTGATAAAGAGTGCTCCACGTGTTGTGAACGCATATGAACGACAGATTGTTGACGGATAGACCACTAAGTTTGCTACAAAACTCACTCCGTTCGGACTCACTAACACTCTCTTTTTGATCTATGCCTATGACGCCTTCTGTGCCGACTTTGACTGAGTTACTCGCTCGAAGGGACCTCGCTCTCGAGAGGGGAGTAATGTAATGACCCGCCCAAAACACAGACTGAGAACACTGCTGATTTCTGGGATTTGCCAATGGAATGAACGCCTTGCTGTGATTCCCGCATTCTGCTGTGGTCCCAAGTCTGTGTGTGTGCGTGCCTGCTGGTTTGCATGCCTGTCTGAGTGCTTGCTGGATGTGTGTGTGTGCGTGCCTGCTGGTTTGCATGCCTGTCTGAGTGCTTGCTGGATGTGTGTGTGTGCGTGCCTGCTGGGTTGCATCCCTGTCTGAGTGTTTGCTGGTTGGGTATGTGTGTAACCCGCCAGGGTACTTGTTGGTTGCAAGGCCCACCGGGCCGGTACTTACCTGTGGCCGTGACTTTGAAGGGTTGCAGGGGGGTAAACATGCCGGTAGCGGGGAGTAGGCCCACGTCACTTAGAGCAGCTGGGGAAAAACA